CCATGTTCTGTGTTCTTTCTGAGAGCTACTAGAGTGAGATCGACTAGTTGAGCTTCATTTATTCTCTATATTAACTCGGGTTAGACTACTAAATAGGTTAGCCATGTGGCTTTTCTCAAGTCTTAGAGTTGTATCTATTGTGTAGCCTTTATCATCCTGCATTCAAAAATTAAAATGTGAGCTAACATATCTGCATTCTTCCTACTGAGGATGTCGGCTACCACATTACCCTTACTCGGGTGATACAGGATCTTACAGTTGTAATTTTTGAGAAGTTCTATCCAACGTCTCTGACGCATGTTGAGGTCCTTTTAAGTAAATATATATTTTAAATTCTTATGGTCTGTATAGATTTCAAATATTTTCTCATATAAGTAATGACACTAGTTCTTCAATGCATAGATAATGGTGACAAGCTCCAAGTCGTGGGTGGAATAATTCTTTTCACGAGTTTTCAACTGTCTGGACCCATAAGTTATGACATTTCTGTGCTGCATCAAAATGCAACTCAGTCCTTGGTAGGACACTAATCTGTATACTGTATACCCACCCATTCTATACGGCAGAAGCAAGACTAGTGTGGTACTCAGTCATTCCTTAAGTTCTGTAAAGCTCTTTCACATTCCTCATTTCACTCAAACTTGACATTTTTCTTTGTAAGTCATGTCAGGAGAATGACTATGCTTGAGAATCCTTCTACAAACATATGGTAATAGCCTGTTATACCCCAAAAAAGTGTCAAACTTTCTTAATTGAAGTCAACTACTTCCAACCCATAACTACATCAATCTTATTGGGATTTACTGATATTTTATTTTTTGATATTATATGCCATATAAAGGAAATTTTCTCAAACAAAAATCCACACTTACTCAATTTTGCGTATGGTTTCTTTTCTCTTAGAACCTGTTAGAACTGAGTCAGATGCTGAGCATGTTCCTCTCTGCTCTTAGAGTAGATCAGGATGTCATCAATGAATACTATAACAAACTGATATAAGAACGGCTTGAAGACCCAGTTCATCAAATCCATAAAAATCGTAGGTGCATTAGTCAATCCGAATGGCATGACTAGGAACTTATAATGCCCATACCGGATCCTAAAGGCCGTTTTAGGGATGTCTTCTGCCTTTATCTTCACCTTATGGTATACCGAACTTAGGTCGATCTTGGAGAAAATATGAGCACCGTGTAATTGGTCGAAAAGATCATCAATCTTGGGGAGGAGGTATTTGTTCTTGATTGTGACCTTATTTAATTCTTTGTAGTCAATACACAATTTTAAAGACCCATCACTTTTTCTTACCTATTTTTATACGACTCATTCGGTATGGGACAATCGAGATGGGTTGGGTGTCATATTGAAGATCTATGATGAATTCAACTTCTCGATCTATTAGCAGTCTAGGTAGTTCATCTAGAAATACGTTTGAAAAATCTCAGACAATAGGAATATCTTGAATGCAAATATCTTTCTTAAGTTTGTATAGCGTGGAAAAGAATAGTTAAATTAAAGGTATTTGATAAACAATACAGTTACTACATGTCAATAATATCTAAACTTTTATTAATTCGTGAAAAACTCTTCATTAAGAATGTTGAATAGTAGCTTCTTGTGGAAACAGTTCACAATAGCGTCATATGCAGCTAGCCAAGTCATTCCCATAATTAAATTAGAATCTTCTGTAGCTTATGCTATTAGATCTACGCTCAGTTCCCTACCTGTTATCTCCACGATACAAGATTTGTATAAAACATTTCCCAGTAATGTTCTATTTCCAGATATTGACACTAAAAATACAGAATTAAAACGTTCAGGTAACACATTTAAATTTTGAGTAAAAGTATGTAAAGCATCAGTGTCAATCAAAACATATGTAAAGTGTTTGCATATAGTATACATACCCTATATCACATCAGGATTGGCTTCGGCACCCTGCTGGGTGAGTGTGTAGGCTCTGCCCAGTAAGCTAGGGAGGAGAGGATGGAGTTGTTTGATCCCCCATCACCACTGCCACAGTATAAGTCACCTCCACACCGAGAGGATCTAATGCCACCACAATACAACCCTACTCATCCATCGTATCATTTGACACCGCTACAGTACAATCTGGTGCCCCCACCATACAACTAAATGCCACCACAAGACCACCCGATTCCTCCCTAGCATAATCCAGTTCCCCTTCAGCAGGATCCACCTCCACCCATTATGGACCCAAGCTACATCGAGAGGTACAAGAGACTTAATCCACCTACTTTTGTGGGGGCATCCATATTTGAAGAAACTGAATACTGATTAGTAGAGACAGAGACGACTTTTGTGACCCTTGGAGTAGTTCCCGAACAAAAGATTACTCTTTCCACTTACATGCTCGAAGGTGAGGCATAGGGTTGGTGGTAACTAAAGCAGTCTATTCTACCCACTCTAGTCATATGGGATCAGTTTCTGACAACCTTCAATGCTGATTACCTTCTATAACACATCCGATATCTGAAGGAGATAGAGTTTACACACCTGGGTCAGAGAGATTTGTCAATATCAGAATATGTTTAGAAATTACTGGAGTTAGGCCGATACTTCTTTGAGAGCATGACAGATGAAGGCAGGAAGACAAGAAGATTTGAGTGGGGTCTCCATCCTGATATCAGACAACAGTTGTATGTCTTCGAGCTTAGCACTTATTCAGTAGTCTTGGGCCATGACACAATTGATAGAAAGGAACCTTTCACATTTTTTTTTTCAGCAGTGGGCAACTCCAGGCACCTGGTCCCATATTGCAGACCAGCATCTACTGCACTGAACCAGCCAAACAAAAGACCAAGGCATGCAACTCAAGCTCCTTCCCAGGCCCTGGTAGTAGAACACGGTAAGATTTGCCAGCATTGTGGCAAGGGTTATGGAGATTGATCATGTTATCGCATCAACAACACCTGTCACATATGTAAAGTGCCAACACTACGCGAGAGAGTGCCCGAGAAATCAAAATCAGACCAGATCCGAATCCAGAGCAGTAAGAAAACTAGCTAGAAAGCTGTCTCCTGTTTTTTCAGTTGCGTAGCATAGGTTGATCACATAAGTTTTTCATATTACACCGTTTCATTTATGTTCTTTAAGGGCATTCACGTAGTTCTATTGGATGTTTTAATCAAACTGTACAATGAATGTAACCCTAAATTCAAAATCACTTCCGCAAATTAATGAATTTCAGTATTATTTTATTTCTCACATTTTGGATCCTTACAAATTTGGTTTGAACCAAGATAAAATTAAAATGAACTTTATCCTTTAATGTCTATATTGAGGATTGAGTCAAACACTATTTGTTCAATTTGGTTTGACCTGTTCAGTGTAATATAATATGATTTTTTTTTTGCTTTTCTCAAAAAGTTGCATGTACAAAATAAGAATAACAAAATTTGTCATAACAAACTTTATTAGCTTTATATTTCGATATAAGTTGTGAATAAAGAAACATGTAATGAGTATCTCAATTTTGTTTCCTCAGTTAATATTAATTAAGGAAATTAGGGCAAGTGATACCAACAAATCCATCACTCATACAAGTTAGGGTCCTCGTAGATACGTAAGTTTTCTTGTATAGAAGTCAATACTTTAATAATAATAAACGTTTAAGGCAATGATATATAGATGTGATGGGGCATTGCATGACATTACTCTTATTTCGATATGTAAAGTTTTAAGTATAAATAAAAGTTTTTATTATTATATCCAATTTAATTAGTAATCTAATACATATATATATATATATATATACATATGATTTGTTTCATTTTCACATGATAATATATATGTATTACTCTTTATAAGAGATTTAATTCATGATAAAAGTAATAATATGTGAACTAAATTTTCAAATTTTTTAAAACAACGACAATGTTTAATAAAATTTTAAAGTCTATAAAAATTTCGATGAAAATTTGGCTTGTAATAATTAAATAGCATTAGAGACAACCTAGTAGGGTTCTTGAGAAATAAGAAATAATATGTTACATCTATTAAGATACTGGATGGCTAAACAATATTAGGGTATCATTATTAAGAGCTAGAAAATATTATGCATTATCTTATAATATATCAAATAATTAAAACAACATTACGTATCACTTTGTAAATTATATAATAGCTATATATTATCAGAGCTATATATAGATTTTTTTTTTTGTTAGTTATATAATATTAGGTATTAAATGTTAAGATATTTAGTAGTCACGTACCAGATATGTACTATATCGTTTCTTTATAAGGATAATCTGGTTATCTAAGATGGTGACCTAATTGACGTGAGAAACAAATTCGAATGTACTAAAAATATTTTAAAAGAATTATTAAGTGTAAAATTTAGATTTTTTTTTTAGTTTATCTTTGAGTTAAATTTTATTTAACGTTTGAAATAATATTTATTTTTTAAAGACCTTAAATTTAATTTTTTAATAATACTGCGTTATAGTTAATACGTTATATCAAAATTTGTTATTTTTTTTAAAAAAATTATTTAAATAAATATCAAATAAAATAAAAATTTTACAAATTTAGTAGATAAAAGTTTTTAAATATTATCGAAAAAATTAAAATTCGAAAAAATAAATTTATAAAATATAATGAAATCACATGTTAATCTATATAAAAAAATAATATTCAAAATAAAATATTATGCTGTGGTGATATAATTTAGTTACTATAATAATTTATTTTACCCAAATTAAATTAAAAATGATTAGGTGAAATTAACATATTTAATTAGTCAACTTCTATAATTATCATATTTAATATTTAATATTTAATATTTTTTGTGGAGGGATTATGTTGTTTGTTTCCGTGTTTATGGTTAATTTAATTATTCTCCTACTTTTTTTATTTAAAAATTTTATTTTATTGGTAAAATATTTAAATATATATTTTTAAAATTCTCCCACCCGTGTCTGTCAGTTGCTAACCTACGCCGGGTCCCAAAAGAAAAGCGACGTGGCGTGGATTACCACACATCCCGTGATTGCCTCGTTTCAGGTCGCATGCTTCGATAACGACTGGTTTCACCGTTCACCATAACGGTCTCTTCTCGTCCACCCACCGTCACCTCCCGGCGCATTTTAGCGATCGCCATCGCGTCTCTTTCCTGCTACCCTACTTTTATGACCTTCATTTCTAGAGAGATAAAGAGATAACAGTCTACCAGATTGAGAGAGAGAGAGAGAGAGAGGACTGAGATTTTGACTTTGTTGACTGCTTGATAGATCAACGGCTCAAGAGGTAGCTCTATACGTCTTTCTCTTTTTCTCTTGGACATTGATTCTGACTACTCTCTTTTTTTTTTTTTTTTTGTCAAACTCAGGTTACTTGAGCTTTTCTATGGAGCTCCTGATCTGATCTGCGTACTTTTTTTTTGTCTTGAACATCGCAACTGATTTTCTTTTCCCCTTTGTCTGATTCTGTGCCGCACCTGAAGTTTGGTTGTGAGGATTTTCTCGCTTCTCCTACTCAATTTCGCAAAATTTTGTTTTCTCTAGTTTAAAAATTGGAAGTTTGTAATAGTCTCTTCTTCTTTCGTCAAATTGAAGCTGGATTCATCGGCTTGCATGCTTAGCATTTAGTTCAGAACTGATTTCGTTGTGGCCTGGTGCTAGCGTATTTAATTGTAGTGTTGACCGTTCGCGTGGCTCATCTTGTTTCTGTATCATGTAAGAAATGTTAACATTTAGCCATCCTGCTGTTTTATGCAAATCCTTTTGCTTTTCATCGTAATGTGTGTTTGTTTAACGCTTGCATTGCTGTTTACGAGATCTGTCTTGTGGAGATTACTGTAAATTCTGTGGTTATGAGATCTTTCTGGTTGAGGTTATTATAAATTCTATAATGTTATTGTTATAACTTGGGTTCAATCAAGTAATGTAGTTGGTTTCTGTTATATGAGTTCAAACCCTATCCTCTTCAATGTACTAGCTTTTTGTTTTTTTTTCTTTTTTGAATAAATTTTGTTTGTTGATGTTGCTATTAATGGTTTTGTACCCATTCAAATTGTTTTCTATTTTATATTTGTATCTGTTTTTTTTTTTTTAATTTGATGAAGCAGATTCTGATTTTTCAGCATCTATGCAAATACTGCACTGCAAGGAAATGGGGCAAGATGATTTACGAGAGTGATAGCTTCAAACTGGTGAATTGCGTGCTTTGAAGGTAATAATTAATCAATTAAACATAAAAAATAGGTTACATGAAAACATTTTGAAATTAAGACTTTTAGTTAGACAAGCATTCCATGCACATCTGAAGGGAAAACTTATTATTGAAAGAATAGGAAACATCTATTGACACGTTCATGAAAATTTATCGCCAAGGACAGACAGAAATTTACATAAAAATCAACAAGTATTTTGCAGGCTTCTTTATCTCAAAAAAGGGTATTTTGCAGGCATCTTACTGCCTGAAACCCTAAGGTTTCCCAATTAGTTCCTTTATTGGTACAATTTTCTTTCTTTTTTTCTTATAAATGAACTAGAATGCAACCGACTTATATTGTATGGTCATCAAAAGGACGCTAACGCTTCATTTATTGTCTTAGTTTCCAAAGTTTCACTTAATTGATACCTTTTGGGAAACCATCCTTTGATCCCTTTTTTTTCCCACAGTCATCTTACGACTTGGCTTTCCAAATTAGATGCTTGCTATATCCCTTGGGTGCATTGCTTCAGTTTCCAATTGGATATGTTCACAGTCCATGACCATCCGTATGTCAAGACTTTCATCTGGAAATCACCTATGCTGCCAGCTGTGTTTTAGACTTTACAAAGGAATGAATTTATTATGCTTAATTTTGCAAGTGTTGTTCACAATAATTCAAATAAATTGGATGGTTCAGTGTCTTTAATATTGTTCTATGAAAGGATGATGCCCCATTATCTAATCTCTTCACTTATAATAATCCATTGTAAAGTCACTTTACAGAAGGAAGAGAATAGCTATCAACAACTCAAAAAAAGGCAAACTTTAATGAAATAAACAGTGATTTTTTTCCATTCTAAGCTAGTGATACTGAGCCTCTAAATTTTACAAAACTAATGTACCTTATTCTGTGGTAATACTCTGTCACAGTGATGATGTCTCCTTTAAGTTAAATTTCTCGGTATCTATGACTACTATAATACTGGTCAAGTTTTTTTCTTTGTCCTTTCTTTTTAACTTCTCAGTTTAGATGTGTTCCTTCTGAAAAGGTAAAACCTTTTGATTTTGGTGGTGTTTAGCTAGGTACAGTTAACAATATATAACGTACCTGGGAATAAATCTCTTGATGTGCGCTTGGAGCATCATCTATATTCTTATATGGAAAATTGTATTTATTTATGAATTTCCGTCAATCCTTCTTTTAGTGTCTTACTTTTCATGTCAAGTTTAATTGGGCAGTATCCAAGCCAAACTGGTCCTCTTTCTTACTGATGTTTTCCCTGTTCTCTTCTCTTTATTGTAAGATTTTGATAGATGAGACTGGTCATTTTTTGTTTGTTTTAAGTTTTTGTCACATACTAGTTTTTTTTTTGGCAGGGTAAACTGCAGTGACTGGTACCATGGGTGTCTCGGGAAAATGGATTAAAGCATTGGTTGGTTTGAAGAAATCAGATAAATCACCTTCTTCAGAGAAAGATGAAAATGTTGGTGTTGGTATTTGATGTTGATTTTAAATTTCTGTTTTTATAGATGATGCATGTCTCTCTTTATATTGGTAAATACGTATTTCATACACATGCACCTTCTGAAAGTATGAATGAATTTTGCACCATGTAGCTAAGTTGCACAGGTGTCTAATACACCATCCTGCTGTACTCAATTATCTTTCATATATGTTCTGCCTTTTCAATTTATCACCAGATCAAAAATTCAATAGTACATGTTTAAATGTTTAACCCATTTGCTGGTCATTTATTTGAAACGTATTTAATTTGATCATATTTAGTGCTTAGTTAATGTCTAGAGAAAGCACAGCAAAATGCACTGAAAAATGGCAAATTTTCTTTAAACAAATCTTAAGAATTATATAAAATAATAATTTTCACCTTGAAGGACTTCTATTTAGTGAAGTGCTCCCTCCCATTAGGAGAAAGCTACATAAAGTTTCTTTTCTTTTGTCACTTTTCTTTTTATTGGGTCTTTCTTTTTCCTAGACTTTTGGACTGTTATTTGTATTTAGTTACTGGGGGGCGTGTTTGGGGGTACGTTGAGAAAACCCAGAAATGAAAATTTTAATGTAGGTCATGGTAACTTAAAATTTTGCCTGTTTTCAAAAACAGAGACATACATGTGTTTTGGGAAAGTTTTGGGAAATATAAAAACAACATAGAAACAAACCATGAATAAGATAAGAACTAGTTTGGAAGAAATTCAGCTGGTGCTTGTGTAGGCAGGTTTTGTCACTAATGCCAGCTACTTGGTACCGTAGTTATTTCCTTTGCAAAGAGGTCCACAAAAGTGTTAGATCTTGTAAAATCCTCTATTTTAATTGTCTCAGTGGTTTCCTTGTTACACTTCCCGGTGGAAATTGCTTCTTCATTTTCTTTTTCAATTCTCAGTCGATTAATAATTTACATCGTTTAAAGAAACTGAATGTAAATTCTATTTTTTGTTATGTATATAACCAGCTGGTATAATGTACTTTTTCTTCAATCATAGCAGAGAGCGGCTGCTAGCAAAAATCGTCATCGGAGGAAGCATTCTGTTGAGATTAACACTGAGAAACTTCAAGATGAATTTGATCAATATGCAGCTTCACCAGTTGGTGATGCCACTTTGAATTCTATCCCGGATGAACACAATCCTTTGGATTCACTTCAAGTACAGGATGCCGGCCACGATCAACAGATGAGACAAGGGTGGGCTGCAACACGCATCCAAACAGCTTTTCGAGGATTTCTGGTATTAAGTCACCTGTTTTCTCTCTTTACAGAAAAGATTGTGATTGTGTATCCTTAAACAACCCATGTCACTGGGGTTATTTTTAGATTGCAATTCTTTCTAGATACATCTCTCTTTTTAGGTCATTGCTTTCATCTCACATCTTACCTTGACTAATGTGAGGATTCAAGCAAGTCTATAGGCTTGAATGCAGTTCTCATAATTAACTTGGCCATTTTTGGTTCTAGAAGCCAGTATATAACTTAAAATTTGTAGCATTATATTCTTGCTGTATTTCATGGCATTTTGTATTTCTTTTAAATTCATTATTAATTATAGAAAAAGGGTGAGAAACCACCTAGAAGTACTTATTCGGGCTGTATTTACTAGGCAGATTATTGAAGTCTGAGACATTCCAGTCTATGCAGGAATTAAAGTTTATGTTCTGAAACTTAAATAGAAATTTGAGATTACATTTTTCTTATGGAACATAGGAATCTTTAAGCAAAGATTTCATCTGGATAGTTTTCTTTGGGAGTGGTGTTTCTTTCTTCTTTGGGGCTAAGGCCTAGCTTCTTTAGGGAGCTTCTTCATCCAAGTTTGAAGGGATTAGCAAGCTATTTTGTTTTTGTTCTTCCTCTTTGCTCCTATTATTTTATTTTTATTTCTATTTTGATGATAACTTATAAAATATTTCTCTTGTCTCTTTATATAGTACTTCTTTATGAAAATGATTATGGGGCACGATGGTCAGTTGCTAAATAGTGAATAAAACACGGTTAGAAATTAACCACAAAAGACTTAATAAAAAAATATATTTGGTTCCCAACTTCAATAAAGTTTAAAAGATCATTCCTGGACCAAGGCTTCGGCTTGTTGAAGAGACTAGCAATTTGTTGAGCCTGAAAGGTTCTTTGTTATATCTCTACTCGGGCAGAAGACAGAGAAAGCCAGAGATTCCACTTCAGTTTTCTGGAAACCACAATATTAGGGGCCCAATTTAGTTTTGGTGCAGTAACTGATGTGTCCTTATCTGATGTATGGCAAAATAGGTTGATTTTGTCCACTTAGGAGCTTGAGAAAAATCTAGATATTCATTCTTAGGGATTAGTAGATATTATGCTTAAGATTTGATTGAATCACATAATTAGGTATTGGAAAATCCTCAAAGTATTTTCATTGAATAATTGAATGACGATCTGAAAGGACATTACAGAATATATTATTAAAGAAAAGGAGATTACAAAATATAAAGTGCCAAGTAGTTCTTTCTCAAATAGGATCAGACTAAGAAACACTAATACTAATAAAATTAAATGTATTACTCCTAATAAGGATAGGAATATAAAACATAAATAAACTGAAAAACATAAAATAACATAAATATAATTCTTAAATGGTAAATCACTACTGCACCTATAGGCCATCAATTCTTATCAAGTGAGAAAAACTTGGCTTCATCGCATTGGAATCATAGGGGTAAGCGTTTTGAGGTCAGCTTGTTGATCCAATTGCAATAAGTTTAAGGATGTCCTTTCAACTTCACTTGAAACTTGTGATAAGTGCCACTCCTTGTAGTTACTCTTGATAGTCCATGACACCTTCTATCTTGTAATTGAGGTTCGTCAAGAGCGTAAGCATTTGAGCTAATTTTGTTGAAAAAGACCCTTCTACCCCTGTACATTTTGTCCCTTTTGCCCCTGTAAAGTCTTTTCCATTTTTACCCTTTCTTCTGCAGTAGACTTTTAGTGGTTTCTTGACAATATCATCGCCTTGAGTATCAACCTTGTCCTCAAGGTTGAGATTTAGAAATTATTGCTGAATATATTTATAATCTTCCTCAAACCCATATATAAGATCCTTTTTGTCTTCAGAGTAGGCATATCTAGTTAAATTACAGGATGAAGCCCATAGCACATGTATTACTACCAAAAGAAATATGCAAGCATATTCCAGAAATTGGAATGACCCAAGTAATTTGCCACAGTAATCCTTATGTCTGCAAAGTTTAATGCTGGTGCATCATTGTCACCATCACCAGTCATGCCAACTATGTGTTTCATTCCTTGTTACCATTTCACAATCTCAAGCTTGTGCTCAGGTTCTGCAAAAATTCCCAGTCCATTGGTAGCAAGAAATGAAGCATTAGAAGCATTTCCATTATGGGTATCCTTCGCCGGAACTTTATTGACATGCCTGGTATTTGCTTTATGCCTAGGCAACCTTCAAGCTGCTCTAGAATAGTCTGTCCCATAAAGACTCATTCATCAGTGTTGGGTATGCCATATTTTACAAGCTTTTCTCTTGGATTTGTCAATTCATCATCCAATGTGAGATCCTCTATGCAAGTTTCAGAATTAGTGTCCCTTCCCTATCTAGGTGTTCCATGCTCAGATGTCTCATAAGCAGTGTCACTACCATAGTCGGATGTGATTGATGACTACCTGCAAAAAGTGACAGGCAATTGTGAGGCATTTGAAGTGAACAACTCGTTCTGTTTCCATCTGAATTAGCTTCTGAAATGGACTGGCTCATATCTTGGAATGAAGAACTTGGAGGAGCTTCTAATTCGAGAAAGGATGCTACGTGGACACTTCTTGACAAATCAATATCAGATAGTAACTTTGTCATCCTGTCATTCAAAGAGCGCATTCTCTCTTCCAGTAGAGCCCTGCTTTTCATTTGCAAGAGTCCCTTTGTTGTAACACCATTAAATCTTCACAATAGTCCTCGTGTTGTTGTAACACCATCTGGGGATTGCAAACCAAGTTGAACCTGTAAAACACTACAGGATCTGAATTTTTTGATTTTGGAAGGACAATCCATGATGGTATTGTGATGCAGTAACTCCATCCTGTTCGAGGATCATGTGCCCAAAGAGTGTCTTGTCTATTCTCTCCAGAACCTTGATCTCTAACCAAAGTGAAAAGATTTGCAATTCGTGCATACTTGACCATTCTGTCCTTGGTGTCTACCCCGGAAACCAAGGAGTTGCTGCCACATATGCAGCTGGTCCTATTGTCGGGGTTTCCACAATAGCGTGAATGTTTGAGTCCTCTGAAATCACCCTATGAATTGAAGTGATAATCCCTCCTTCATGCATTTTGCCCTTAGATTGCATATTTTGTTCAGGAAGTATTCCCATGCCATTAAGACAGGATGAAGATGAAGATTCCTACCAACATTTGGGTTCTTTAACCCACTTGAGACCATCAAAGTGGGAGTCAATAGTGATCCACAAGCTGAAATTGTTACTTTGGCCTCAATTTGCAGGTTCTTAGTTACTTTATTATTCATAATAGCTGCAATCACTCGCAGAAATATCTTTTCTCTTTCTCCATTGTTATTGTCCATCAGTATCAACTTCTTAGCTTTGCAACCTGTCCATATCCCTGTGCCATATCCCACAGCATCCACCAGCCACGTAGAATCAGTCCCTTTCTTGTTCCCAGTCTGCACTGATAGGAGCAGGAACCACAGTAATGATCCTCAGAGGAATTTCTTGGAACCATATCATCTTTCAAATCAAGATTTTCACATCCTTTTTGAAGAACTTGATTCTGAAACCCTTTCTCTTCAGTGGAATCTGAAGTGGTTCGGTTAAGAGGAGCAAGTGAACTGATCCAGTTCGAACCAGTTTGTCGGCCGCTTTAATCATTGAACCAGTTTGAGAGTTCCCCTATTTTCTTTGTGCAGCAGAGGCGAGGAGGAAATGATCCTAAATTATATTATTTAGGATGAATTTGTCTAGTTAGGAATTTGGGTAAATCCTAAATAGTCCATCTTGATTCCTTAGAGATCACGCTAAAATTTGATTGACTCACACAATCGGGCATTGAGAAATTCTCAAAGTACTCTGTTGAAGAATTGAATGATAATTGTAAAGGAAATTACAAAAATATTACAGAGTGCCAAGTAATCTTTTCTCTAATAGTATAGAACAAAAAAATACTACTACTAATAAAATTAAAAATACTACTGTTAATAAAGATAGGTAAACATAACATGGTAAACCAGGAAAGATAAAAATAACCTAAATAATATAATTCTTAAATAATAAAGGACTAGTATGCCTATGCACCATTATTATCTGGTCAAATAACCTAATAGCTATGATGCCAATAATGTTGTGCATTTTTATGTACAAAATCTGACCTAGGCTTGCTTGGTTGTTTGTAAGTGACATCCCCAAAGAGCTGTAATGAAAATAAACTGAGAAATTGACTACTGGGTCATCTTAGAAGAACTAGTCTGTTGCAGGGGGATTTAAAATCCTAATACAGTTTCCTCCCCCTTTTTCAGCAAGCAGTTATGTGTTGTGCTCCATCCCCAGATATATCACTGTGATTTTCCAAATCTTTTTAATGCTTTCAGTTTGATGATTACACTGAAATTAAAAATCTTTGTGTATTTTTATCAGGCCAGAAGGGCTTTACGAGCATTGAAAGGATTGGTTAGACTTCAAGCTCTTGTTAGGGGTCATGCTGTGAGAAAACAAGCTGCAATAACCCTTCGTTGCATGCAAGCTTTAGTGAGAGTTCAGGCTCGTGTGCGAGCAAGGCGTGTTCGTATAGCATTAGAAAGTCAAACAGCTCAACAGAAACTGCAGCAACAACTTGTTAACGAGGCTCGTGTTCGAGAAATAGAGGTAAAGGTGCAGAAGAAGTTTAGTTATCTATGTTTTCTCAATACATTAGGAATCACATTTCTTTCAAATCTACTATATGGTGTATTAGTATGGGTGGATTAGGATTAGTAGTATTAGGGTTTTATTTATGGTTTAAATTCTTGTTAAGTCTACGAATGGAGTTTCAAATTCTAATTAGATTACATCTAGGATTCTTGTTAAGTCTACGAATGGATTTTCAAATTCTAATTAGATTACATCTAGGTTAGAGTATATTTAGATAGTTGTAGTTTTTAGAAGAGAATACAATAATGATTGGGAGAGTTTACGGCAGTTATGTTTTATGATGATCTGATGTAATCAATCCTCACCTTATAAATGATGCTTAAAAGATTTTGCTTTTCTACACAAATATCCATCTTACATGTTATGATGTCTAAAATATGTAGGTTTTAACTCTGAATCCCAAAGTAGACAGATTAACTTTAATTTATTCCGTATTGCATAAGCACTGTAGATCCTTTAAAAGTCTGAAGTTTATCTGTCTCTCTGTTCATCCTACATCCCATAATTTCATCCATTGATATATTAATATCTTTTTATCGAATATAACCGTTCAATAAGGAGAAAACAACATTTTTACTTGTTCTAATTTCTGGAATTTGAACATTCTTCTATTATTGGTTGGATCTTTGGTATAGAAATTCCCTGAAATGTTATATATAGCTCATCAATGTTTTGTAGATCTGCTTTGCAACCCTTCAATTTCATCCATGGGCATCAGGTTATTCAATGCAGTAGCGCAGAAAAATTAAATGGCATGAACTTAATTCTTCTGTGGTTGACATCTTCTGTCTTTTAGTTCTTTCTGAACACAACTAGAAGATTATCGTCTTTATGGCAGATGCAGCAATTTCTTGATGCATAAATAAAGTGCATATGGCCTTACATCTTTCAAGATTGCACGATTGAATGTGCTGACCCGATCTTTTTGTCCACTTTGTATACATCATTAAGCATTTACTGTTCTAATTCCTAATTTTCGCTCAATTCCACAAACAATTCCAACTTGAGGACAAAACTTCATATGCAATTGAGAACAATATTATAGTATTGCATAGTTTCCTGAAGTTTATGCTATTCCAATGTGAGCATAATAACTGAGATAGAGAAGTAGCTTATTGGCTGATCATAGGGTTAACTTCATCTATTATTTCTTTTTTTTTTGTCTGCTTGGTTGGGTTTTGCTCCACATAGGGGAGCAGATGTGACTAAGCCAACTTGGATGATCATAGTTCTTGATCAGCATATTGTAGAGACTGAACTTGTCAGCTTCTTTCTGCATAACTTACTATGGCCAAGAAGGGAATAACAATTGATGAGGTAAAAATGTGAACACTATGGTGAATGAGTTCAGAGTTTAATTTGTTATAGTTGTTCCATGACGAAAATGAATTTTAATTATTAAAATGGTACTGTAATGTGAACCAGCTAAGTAGCTAATTGTCAGTTCTCTTAGTATTTGCTATTAAACAAATTCCTTCGAA